GCTTTACCAGTTAGTACATTGTTAGTGAGACTCAAAAAGGTGTTTGCTAAATTCTAAACCGTAGGTGGCTGCTGTGAAAAAATATCATTTGTGCTCTAGTACTCTTGCCAAATAGCGACGACAGTCGTAAATCTTTTCTAGTCCCCGTCAAAGTTTGTCAAAAGATGATAGGAATATTTTTCGTCCTTAAAATCTGAAAGACTTCCAGTTGTTCGTCTCGTAGTTGTATAGCAGCTGTTAAACACTGGAAGTTGGCTTTAGCACTTTTCGGAGGCGTTGGGATTTGTCCTCAGTTCAGAATGTGCGGCAGTGCCATTTTTTGACTGTCTTCCATTACATTTGTTTCCCGTACACTTTGTTTCCGGATAAAAATAGTAGTTTTTTCTTAGTATTTCTTCAAATAATTTTTGAATATCTTTTTTTAAGAAAAATCACCCATCCTCTTGTGACGAAGCATTGAAAATTGCCCTTCGGGATGACGTTACTTATATTAACTTTTGTCCTGCTTCTCTGATGTCGAATGTCGCGTAATAAAGGTTCCATGCGAGTAGCAATTTTATTTTAATTTGACTAGTCGTAGCACTCAGTTTAACGACACCTTTAAAATCTTAGCACATTTTACTCCCTACACTTGAAAGATACTAACTGAGGTAACTGGAAGAAAATAGAATATAATAAAGAGACTCCCTAAGGGACAATGAGATTTATAGAAGGAATATAATTGAAAAACCAATAGTAAAAGGAGATTGTAGATATTAAAGGAAACACAAGTATCATCAGGAAATCTTATTCACATTTTAAGTGAACAAAAAAGTAACGAATATAAACGAACAGTAAGCAGTTGCAGAAAAATACAGCGAAGTTAACAGTGAGAGAATTGAGTAGCCGCGAGTCGATTCTGATAATCTTCCGGATAGAGCACCCCTTTTGGCGGCTTCCTCACTTTATAAGCCTTTTCTTCCACTGAATTCAAATTAGTTGATAATTCTTTCCCTGTATATCAAATATTCTGTGCGGAGCAACTACGTTAATTAACTGAAATAGCTGCCTCTACATAATTGATCCCATTTCGTCGTCAACGCCATCCATATCTAATGAATGCATTCCTTTCATTTTTTTGCGCTGCAACAAGGCGCAAAGTTGTTGAAAGTGTCCAAGCTCTCAGTTTTCGTGCTAAAATTTGTAAATCTCTTCGGTCATAAGGTGCTGGAATAGTGAACAATAAGGTAGTGTTTAGATACAAACTTGAAATGCTTCTGATCGTTATTCAAGAGGTTAGGAAGACTGTAGAACACAACATTTCTCCAGTCGATTATGTGCGAATACAGTGTTGACAGGAAAATATTATAAAGTTGTAAATGCCTTGTGTTCAGTCGTCCTGATCGAAAGGAGTTTTTAATCAAATCTTCCGTGATGTATTGTAGTTTTTTTTTGGTTCGATGGCCCACATATGACAAGAGAAGCGTGGTTTGTCTCTCGCAACCTTTAACTTCAAATTGTCTAAGAAATAGTACCGCATTAAGAAAAATCGTCGTTTTTATGTCTAGGGGACGCCCAGGCTCAAATGACTGGTCCTGAAAACCCTTCATTCACTCAACATGAAACCTTTATTGTGCTCAAAGTTTATTGAATAACAAGTTAACCTTGTCTGACTTGACGATTGTATGAATAGCAAGGTGACCAGATCTCCTTAGCTATGCCTTACACTTATAGATGAAAAACTTCTACTTTTATCTATCATTCTTTTTTTTATTTAATTTAGGTAAGATACAACTTCAAAAAGGAAAAACAAATGAATTAAACTCAATAAAGGAAAGAGGAAAATGATAGCACAAAAATCTCAAGCAAGGTTCAATTTAATTGAAAACGAGAAACTTTCTTTAACGGTTAAAAAAAACTAGCTGGAAATTAGACGTTTAGGAAGATTGGTAAACTCCACCTACTCCGTTACTACATATTTACACAACCTTCTATTCACATAAGGGCTCCAAAAGAACTGACAAAATCCTAGGACCTAGCCATGATAGTTTATGGTGGTGACTAACTACAATTTCTCAAACTTCATAATTTGTGTTTGGTATCAGCTGATGATATCCAGTTCTAAAAACTTCAAAACAGACCTGATACAAAATCTAAAAACGAGTTAATTAATCAGATAAGAAATTCTGTGACCACTCCATACTTCAAGTAAGTAGTTTAGACCGGTTGGGCTAAAGCTTTGAAAGCTCGCAATCTGAGATTCAATTCCGACAAATTACCTGTACTGAATGGCCAACTTGATCTTTTCCGGTAAGATAAAAGCTTGCGGCAGGAAAGTTTACCAACCAACAAATAAACAAAATAAATTTTGTCGGCATATAAAAAAGTTTAGCTTCTTATTGCTCAAAATCCTCGAGTATGTTACAACCCAAAAGTGACTGACGTGCTCAGAGTTGAAAATATACTAGACCACCTCTCAGACACTTGTTTTCGTCTATATCTAACACGAAAAAGCTATTACGGTTTAAACAACGATAAAAGCAAGAAATCTAAACCAAAAGAAACTCAGAACAAACAAAAAATGATGCAAACCCTAAGAACAAAAATCCTATAAGCTACCAGGAGGCACGATTTACAAAACATAAAACATAATATATTTCGGAATAAACCCCAAGATCCACCAACAGAAGGATAAATAAACAGATGCAGCAAATGAGCTTTGAAATACGACGACCTGATAGCAAGATCTGAAAGGATAACAAACCAACTAGATTCTTCATTACTTAAATACCTATTCAAATTGCAATTACTGTCTGTCTTTCCTCCAAGTTTTCCTCCGGGGTGGATCAACGCTCACTACAACACTGCTTGAAGTCACCTTCAGAGTGCTGCAATGAAAATTACGAAGTTTTGAAGAAGCAAAAGTACACTCACCTCTTTCTCCAATTTCACTTCTCTTTCATGCAGCAAAAAGAATAATTTCCGCCTTTTTAAATACAATTGAGGCTATAAATCCCTTTGCTATTACTTAAACTTGCTTTTTTTAAGTTTCTAAAAGGCGTGCATGCTTCAATCCCTTTAACGCTTCGTTGACTCTTAACTACACCTCCTTAATAATTATAAATATGAAGCAGTGATCTATTCAAATTTTTCTCCTGGGAAAACCAACTTATTCTCGTGGATCACTTTCTAATTGACAAAATCCGACTTGCGATGTCGACACCATACCCACAAAAACATGAGAAATATGCCTAAACACCAATGGCCTTTCCTCTTATCGTGCCCCACCCAATTTTGCTGTCGTTCTGTCACCCATCCCTATTTACCTTCATTACATGTAAATCTGATCTTCCTGCTTCATGCATAATATAACAACCCTTGATTAGGTTCAGTCATCCAAATCTGATGTTTGCAGTAAATGTAACTCAACAACGACAGCGTTTCATGCAGCAAAATGAACAATTGCAAATGACCCGCACACCACAAAGCAGAACCCTTCGGAATGAAAATTTCAAAAGCAACTCCGAAAAAATACTTTTAAAAATAATTAATGATGATAAAGTAGAACTACCATAATAGAAACTTTAATAAATTATAAATCAGCTTCATTTTTCAACAACATACAAAAATTACACGCCTTTCATTTGAACATTAAGCATGTTAACAGAAGAAAAACGACTAAAAAACGAACCAATTGTTCAAACAAACTTCACAACCACCAAGTGGACCGCGTAGTAAAAATCACCAGTATTGTAAAAACAACAATTCAATTTTCAAATGAAAAGCTTTTACATTTATATACACATATAGCGACAAATAGATGCGAAACAAATAAACCCACAAAAAATCAAAAAATACCTCTGAAATCTACCTATAAATTAAATTTTTCAAACTCTCTTTCAAAGTTTAATAAAGTTAAAAAGTAAAACGCCTGAGCGAACGGCAGCAAAAGAAGAGAATCACAGAAACGAAAAACCAAACAAAATTATGATTTGGCACTCCTTATACGTTTCCACACTGGAGTTCCAAAAATGTTAGCAAATAACTAATCCTACTATTTCCCATGGAAAAAAATTGGTGTTCAAATTACAAGGCTTACGTAGGAGATTGAGCCATAAAATAAGCACAACTTTCTACGTCTTGTTAAAAAATATTTACACATGAAGCACGCCTGCTGAAGAACTATAAAATTTGCAGGTCTCTGAGGTATATGACAAAATGAAAAAAAAGCCATGACAGTTTGAAACATGCAAATGCAAAGACGTCATGATTTTTTTTAGTAACCTCTGTTGCCATGAGAAAGACTTCTTTATTAGACCCAAATCAATACAGCGAACACTAAGCTTTGTTAAATAAATTCTCGAGCGTGAGCGGTTAAGCCAAAAAAGTAGAAAACTAATGAGCTTTGAAATAATAACAAGCCCTAAATATAGTGATAAAGAAGCATAAATGAAACCGGTGAATAATCATCCAAAGAACCAAATGAGGATGCAAATGCCGCAGTTCTCTAATCAGCGTTAGCTGTACAAATCGAACAGCGAGTAACAAAGCTAAGATAAAGTCAGACATCTTTTTAATAGATTACGAAAGATTCAGAGCTAATTTTTGTTTCAAACTACTTAAATTTGGTATCTTTACGCGACTCTGAGATTTATGAGCCTTTAAATTTTCGTTCTGAAAAATAAGAGAAGGAGGAGGAAGAGGCTGAAAGAACAGGATTTAAAAAATAAATTCAAACTCCATTTAAACGCCAGTAATAGCATTCAATAGTGCTTCGCGACAGCACTATCGTTCCCGCTTGATAAAAACTATTTGTCGTAATTTTAAAATTTTACAAAAAGCAAGCCTTTTTCTCACACCCATTTACAAAAAAATGAAAGAAAAAAATTACCCCGACTTCAAAATTACTACTTATTACTATTCCTAGAAACTAGTTGGAAAAATGCCTGCGATTTCATTCAAAACAGCATTAAATGCTTTGAAAACAACCCATTTAGGCCAGATAGTGTCGTCAAAATCATTTAAAGCTGAATAGATCGATGGTCTGCATCATAAAAAAGTATTGTCGCATTTTGAACAACGGCGATAACCAGTTTACCTTTACAAACCCGACAGCTTAGCTGATACAATTCGTACTGAGACGGTAGACCAAACTGCCAGTTCCTAAATATGCAAGTAATGTCTTGTCGAGAAAAAAGCCAAATCTTGACATCTAAATCGACAGAAATGATTAACTGCAACTTAAATATTAATATTCGCAACCCAGCAAAAAATAATTGTATCGCTGAGAAAGAAAATCAAAGTACTTACTCGAAAACGTATAACTGAAAAAGTGGTGGAGGAGGGAATGTATGGCTATAAGTCCCGTCAGTAACATAAATATCATAATCCGGTTGCGGCAAAGCTCTAAAAAGTGAGTCACTTTATTTACCCTGCCCAAACAGTTGTAATAAAGAAAAAAACTATTTTTAAAAAATGATAAGTCACTCAAATTCGTTAATACTGATGAACGAAGCAAGTAATCAAGCTTCAAATGTATAGAAGCTTTACACTTCTAAATACGATAAGACCCTTTAAAACTGAAGCAACGACTCATGAACAGTCAGGAATTTTTTATATTTCCCTTGAGACACCTTCTGCAATCCGATGCGACGAAAATAATGAAGAATCACTGACGTCAGTCATCAAAGATGCTTCCAAAACTTTAAAAAACTTACGAGTAAGGACCTGAAGAAGGACGCTTGCGAGAGATAATCTTGCGGATCTCTTCACGATATCCCTCCCAACTTTCCACTGATCTGCAAACTGCATCAAAACGCGGCCAAAAAAAAGGTCGTAGTTTTTCCTAAATTCCTACCTATAAGGAAGTAAAACACGATGAGGCTTTACAGAAGAACACAGATTTGGCATGAGAGTACTGACACAATGAACGAGAAGTTAAAATAATGGAAACAATAACACTGACCTACTATAAAATATCATTCGTGGAAAACCACGCAAAGAACTTAACTCCATAAAGTTACCTTGCGCCTTGGTGTAAATGAATATGCAGAAGCACTACGACAAGGGAATTCCGGCGAAACAGTAAATTTTTCGGCAATGGCACTTTTCCTGTACAAATCTACAAAAGTAGACTCTTCGGATGAGATAGAAGGGAACTGGTCAAGAAGATCCTGCGGGAACTTCTGCACTTGATGAGACTTTACCGTTGTATTTTTGTTAGACGAACTCTGTATACTCACATCAGACGTCTCTACATTTCTACTGCAATATTCTTGAATTAAAAATTACTGCTACAAGTCAGCAAATTGTAACAAAGAAAACATTATTTTAAATCCCAATCAAAATTTTAAGAACTTCAGATACTAACTTTGAAGGAAGAACAATATAACCCGCTCGCTTTAAATAGGAATAAACGAGATATTTCGGAAATGAAATCTGTGATGATGCAAGTAATTGATATCCTAAAAAAACATAATTTTATCCTGAACTGAGCTTATAAAATAACCATTGGTTTACCTTGTTGAACGGAAAAGGGATAACCATTAAACAAAATAGCTGCCTGCCCAGCTTCCAAAAGCCAAACCCCCTCTTCAGGAAAAACATAGTGCGTTCCTTCTAGAATAATCCCCATTGTAGCCAAGCGAGACGTCTGAATTTCTCAAAAGCTTTAAAAGTCTTTGCGCTAATTCTGTTGCATGCAACTAGAAGGCTAGTATTCAGGAAGAAACACTAGCCTGCTAATTCTTAATGTCAATTTAAAAATTATTTTTTGGCTAACACAACGAAGCTAATCAATAATGAAAATAAAGCGGATACTGTGATATAATGTATGACTTAAAAATTCACCCTTTTTTGGATTACTTTCAGTAGCCGTTGCCCCGGCACATGCTGCAGCAGGAGGAGATTCTGCCTGAAAATATCAAGAGCAAGTGCGGCGGTTTAGACTCATAAATAATGACTGCCATCTCTAACAAGTTCTTAAACGCTTATAATAATATTTCTGATAATAATGTTTCAAATAAGACTCTCCCCTCCTTCTAAAACGCAAGAACATTCTTTTTTCCTTTTAAACACTAAACAAAACTTGATCCTCACGCAGGAGTCAAACGCGTACTATATGACCTTCTCCAGCACCGTTCTACATCAAACTACAGCAAAGCTCTGCTCAGCGCTACCTAGACTTCGCTTTATAACATCTAGACTTCCAACAATTTCCAAAAAACTCTGCCTGAGATAAATAAAGAGGAACAAACTTAGGCCTTGATCTGTTGTTCATCCTAAATTACCGGTACCTGAAAGCTTCTCCAACAAGCTTTTGCTTCCACGAAAAATACCTAAAAAAAATAGTACATCAGTTACGTATCAAGCTTACTGAAGTTGAGTTTACAGCGCACAGCAATATGATGACTAAAGCCGAAAGTATAAAATGAAACCCGTCACCTTCCTTACCCAGAAAAAAAAAAAAAGAATTCTAAACATCATCACCCAAAACATACTAAATAACATTTTTGGAGTAGAACATTGTTACCTCAAAACATGCCTTTTTAACCGTCAACCTACCTCACTTTTGAAAACAACCTTCTTAATTCCTCCTGATTCATCCGTTATAATTTCAAGTTTGCTTTTTTTTTGTTTTTTTGTTTTTTCTTGTTTCTAATAACCTGCCGTTTCAATTTTCTTCTAATTTCTATAGCCTTCCATAGCAACGGTTTGTCAGTGACGCATGATGTAATGGGTGATGACCGCACTTAGAAAACACAACCTCGGGAATATACATGGTGCAATTTTACCCCCATGCAACTTCCCTAGTCAGAATTTTCAAACTCCTTTACTATAATCTGGTCTGCTAAAAGACATCTAATTAGTCACAGCGCTTCAGCAGTATACAGGGGTTTCACCGATCCGCTTTACAAGATGACGAATGATGCTATGTTACCCCTCCCCCCCCCCCC